GGTGGACAGATATTGTCCAAATAGGGCAGATCATTGACCCTTGTGGTGGCTGAAAATGTGGACATTCTGCTGATAGCATTCATTGATACACTTTTGTGGAAACAAGGCACCGAATGAAATGAGACATGGTATTATGGTGTGACCCAGGCTTGTCTTTCTGACAGTAACCTTGTTTAGACTAGTTAAATATTAGTTCCTTTGTTGTCTGAATCTCTCCAGTTCTTAGTTTATTGGGTTTTTTTTTTGTTTGGGTGGGGTTTTTTTTGGCTTGCTATAGTGTCCTTGCAACATGGCAACTGAAGTTCTATTTGAGGGACTTCTGTAATGGTTTTTGTCTGGTGTGGATGCATGCACATGAGGCATTTAAAAATACTTGGTGCATTCAGATTTTATGTCTAGATGGTCTCCATATCTTGAATGTCCATAAATAAGTTTTGCCACCTTACCTTTAGACCTTCTTCTGTTACACTGCTGCTGGGACTAGTTTCAAGCTGTCAGAAGGGGAAAATCATTTTATCAGGCTGTATTTTTGCAGTACTTTGTGGCTTGTTGCTGATGCTTGAGAGGTTAGGAAGTACATCTTTGTGAATGATAATACGATTGAGTTTGGAGGGAGTGTGTTGCTGACCTTATGTTTGTCACCTTATGTCAGCAATAAACTAGAAAACAGACCATTTAATCTCTAACAATGACATACATGCACTCTTCCTAGTTGCTCAACTTGGCATTTAAACATTTAGTGGAACTGCAGCAGGCTTTCCTGGTGCTTGGAAGGCATATCTTTGAGTATCTTGATCTGTGTGTGAACAAATCTGAGGGTTGATCTTTTTGCTGTTAAAAACAGAGGTCTCTGACACTCAAGACAAGGACAATTCTGTTTGAAGCAATGAGTTAAATATTGGTGCAGTAGCTCTGAAGGCAAACAGAGGTGCTGTTGTTTATTCCACAATACAACTTGCTCAGCCTTGGACACTAAAATTTTTTTACAAGATGGGGAATGTTGGCGAGGCTCCTGGAGTGTGTGTGGGTTTTTGTACTGAAGTACTTAGGAGCTCTTGGTTTATCAAAGGACAGCGCCCTTCAAATAAGCACTATCTTCAGTGTGTCACCCTTGGTTTAGCCCTGAACCTGTGAATTCAGAAGTATGCCAGCATCAGTTTCTCTGTAGCAGTTTAACAGAAATTTCCTCTGCTGAAGGCTGTTTAACCCTAAAAGTTGTCTGATTATTTTTATCATCCCTGTTCTAGAGCAAGAATTTTCTAGAGAACTCTTGGTAATCCTTTCAACTTTTTTCTTCAGGACCACTATTACTTATTAGCTCAGAAAAGGTAGCTACAATACGTGGTTACAGGTATTCCAAAGTGTTCCTTAGAGAGTTTTGTGTTTGATAGGAGTTGTCTGTGTGTTTGAAGAGGTATCTGTAAACAAGTCATTGAATAACTGGTGAAAATATGTATTGCTGGTTAATAGCTACAATTCAGCTATTACAATGATGGAACAAGTTGCACTCTAGAACTGGATAAAATGATTGCTGACACTTAGAAGTTCATAGCTGATTTAAATTTGATTTTGCTGTGTTGTCTTGAAAGTGTGGGGTTTTTTTTTTTGGGGGTTTTTTTTTTTTTTGGTGTTTTTTTTTTTTTTTTTTCTGGACATACTCCAGCCTGTTATGTGCTAGAGGTCAAACTAAATATCCACCAGGAACTGTTTTCTGAACCTGAAGTTGGGAGTTACCAGCAATGCTATGTTAAGTGGCATGCAGAGATCCATTCTCAGAAAACAGGGAAGGGTGGGTGGAGAATGGGAACATTCTTTCCCTCTTCTGTGGTTGAGATAACTTTTTTTTTTTTGTAGAACAAAATATAAGGTGCTGATTTCAGACTTTGTTCACCCCTAGATTCCATACATGCTTTTTAAACTTAATTAAAATTAAAATTTGGTGCTTTGAGGCAGTAACCCCACAATCCCAGTGTTTATTGCTGTAAATTTGGCAGCAATATATACTTCTGAAAAGGTCACTAATGCTGTTTTCCAGCTGGACTCTTGTAGATGAGTGAAGTAGAAGACAAACAGTGTGGAAAATTGTTATGAATAAAGTCTACCAAAGGCCAATTGTCAGAGAGCAGAGTAAGGAAAATGGTGTTGAATTTCTGAGAGAAAATACTTTTTTTTTTTTTTTTTTTTTACCACCAAAAAAAAAAAAAACAAAAAACAAAAAACAAACCTGCAGCCTGTACACTTAGAGGTGTTGCTGCCTCTCAGGTGTGAATGATTATTTATGTATGTTTGTGGTTTTTTTAGTTGAACCTGTTTCATCTTTATAGCTTTGGATCTGAATGTTTTCTAGGTCTGGTCTTCTGTAAGAGTTCCCAGAAAATAATACAATTATTTGTGATTTGATAGCAACTTCATATTCAAAAGAGTATGGCCAGAAATAACTGAGGCGGGATACTTTCTGATCTATTCTGGCTTCTAGTTTTCTTTACATTGTATGACCCTAAATACTGTTGGATTTTTCAGTTGTCTAAAGCTGGGTCATAGCAACACAGATATGTCCCCTGGGAGCATCACTTTTTTCATTGTTTTAGCTTCTAGAAGCAAACGTTGGACGGTAGCCCATGTGTGGGGTGTTGTAGCAAGGTTCCTCTGCTTATGTGGCCACAGACTCTGTACGCATGTGAGCAGGTTTGCAGACTGAGCACAGGCCCTGTCTCAGACGGTGGTATTAAGCCTCCTGTTGAGGAAGGGCAAGTTACTGATGGTATTATAGTATCATTATAGAGTCTCAAGGGGTAAAAAATAGGAATTATGGTTAGACAAGTGAATTAGTAACAAGATTGCTTTATTATGATTCCTATACAACCTTCATGGCAAAATTGGTGTGGTAATGATTGCATGAGTTTTCTCTTCCTCCTTTCAGAGAGCAGAAGTCTACATGTGGGAGCATGCGTGCAGATTTTTAGGAGGAAATAGAGTTGAATGGTGTGTGTAAAGAGCAGGAAAAGAAAAGATATGGGGAGGGTGTACTTGGATAGCAGAGAACATTGATTGTGATTTCAAGAGCCACAGTGAAGACAGGCCCATAGCTTGCATTGAGAATGACTCGTAAACATGCTGTATCTGCTCTCCATGCTTTATTGCAGGAGATGTGCTTTGAAATTTGCATTAAGGTTTTCTAAGTATGTGGCAAAAGTGCTTAATGTAAATAGCTTTTGCCCCTTCATTCATCTCTGTTCGATCTTGTCAACCTTTGAAGAAACAACTTCAGATGATGTCCTGTGGCCAGTGGAAATAGTAGTGCTTTTTCTGCTCTCAGCTTGCTGCTGTATTTCATTGTCAGTTTTTAGATGCTTCACTAATAACTGCAGGAGCTAACTTTGTCAAAGAACGTAGTCTAAGATTTGGAGTGTTGGACCAAAAAGCGTAAGACTTCATACTCAGAATCCTGAAACCTTGTGCAGGTTGTAACTAATTTCTGGTAAGTAATCATTCTGAGCTTGTTCAGAGGCTTTGTTGTTATAGGAGCACTTGAAAAGCACAGCACAATTGCTTTGCTAGGACAGGTACACGAGAGGTAGAAAAGCATCCCAAAAATGTTGTTCATTCCTAACATGGAACATCTCATGGGTATTCCCTGATAAGTTCCCGCTTACAGTAGCTTGCTGTTTCAAAAGGATGAAGCATATTTAGAAGTTGCATTCCTTTTATTCTTGGGTGTTAGGTGAAGAAAGTCTCTCATCCTGTTTAGGTATTCAGTGTTGTAATTCTTACCTAAAGAGTACTTGTCTTTTTTGGGGGGTTGGTGTTTTTCTGGTGTCATGTTTTATGGAATCTGTCCTTTTGGGAGTGTTTTGGTTATAATAGTTTGTGTGTGCATCTGCTGTAGGGAAGACTATAACTAGACTTTCATTAATAGACTTATAAAAATAACCTAATTAGATCAGTAGAACACGGTGGAAGTGTATCCACATGCTACGGTCTTCTACAGTAGAAGCTGTTTCAGGGTTACAGTAAAGAGATTGGTACATTGGACTTAACAGAATGGTTTGAGGTTAGCCTGAGGCATGGATTGAGTTTTAAAGGTCATAAAAGTCATGATCTAAAGGCCACATTAGTGTCAGAATTTGCATTGTAGTCCTCAGGAAGTTTCAGTTTCCAGTAGCTAGAATTAGACGTAATTTCCAAGTGGTTGATTAAGGCAAGGAAAAGACACAATTCTCATAGTTAACTTCATAATTGAAGCAAAACCTAGAGCGATTTTGAGTTTTGTGCTGGATTTGAGTAACATCCCCTTGCCCTTCATTGCTTTTAGGAGTGTATTTTTGCCTCAACTCCTTAGTTTGTGTGAGAATTCTAATCGCTTATTTGGGGGACAACACTGAACCAACTTAATTGATGAAAAGGTTGGAAACTTTATCATCTGTAGAACTGTATGGTTTTTTTGGTAACGGATATAAAACAGCCAGCTCTTATACCAAGCAACTAATTATACTTTCCCTCTGGCCTAGCATAATTTGTAGGAAGGCTCAACCTAACATTGACAGGGGACTTTGACACAGGCAGAATACCATAGCCAGAAATTGGCAGATTCCTGGCTCCTTGTCTTCTGTCAATGTGTTTGAAGTATCTGCTTGTGATTATATTTTAAAGATATGACCTTAAGTTTACATGGCACAGCCACTTAGAGTGGTAAAGGGACATGCACACAGAGGTAAAAATAAGCTGCAGTTGAGTCCAGTTCCTGAAGTCACTGTTACCAGGGGCAGTTTACAAGATCTTGGATGACTCTAGTGACCCTGTGGGACTTTTAAAAGTGATGGGGGAAAAAAAAATAAATCTTTAAGTACTGATTATAAAGGGGGGAAAAAAGTTAAGCGTTTATTTCAGATATGAGATTAAATGTTTGCATGTGTACCATTTATTTATATCTTCTGCAAATCTTAACTCCTAGAGTTAATCTTTAATATACTTTTTTTTTTTTAACTTTTGTTAAGGTCATAATGGTTTCCATCCCTGAATACTATGAAGGAAAAAACGTCCTCCTTACAGGAGTTACAGGATTCTTGGGAAAAGTGCTTTTGGAAAAGCTGCTCAGATCTTGTCCTAAAGTGAAAGCGGTGTATGTATTGGTAAGAAAAAAAGCAGGGCAGACACCTGAAGCACGAATAGAAGAAATTACCAGCTGTAAGGTATGTGTCATATGATCACAAAGTACATCTTTATCCTTTATAATGTTTCCACTTCACTTTGGGAACATCTTTGGTTTGTCTAAAGCAAAATATTGTTAATGTTTTTTTCATTTGAACAGAAATAGAAAATCGAAGACCTGGCAGTGCTTCTATAGCTGTTTTGCAAGCTGTTAGTGTCTAGCAAAGCTAGTAGTGGAAAATTACCCTGTATTTAATTCGGGAGGAGGTTGTTCAGCTGTAGTGCAGAACTGAGAAGTAAAACACCCTAGTTAAAAAACTTAAGGACCCTTATCTGATACCTCTAACCACCTACCATGTGGTATGCATGAAAGCTTCACTTGTCCCAGCCTGAGTCTGCACAGAGCCATCTCAGAAGCATCCTGACGTCTGATGTGGTTTAGTTGCAATCCTGATAAACTGCTCGTGAATAATGGAGAACTAGATGCACATCCTTCAAGACCACTATCCCAGGCCACACAATGGTAATCAAGTGCAAGAGGCAGTGTGGACTGGGAGTTGTAAGAAGGGATTGAGGCTCTTCTTAAGTTTTTCTTTGTGCCTTATTTTATTTTCTGTAAGATTAGGCTTATTAATTGCTTTTTCTTGAATGTGCTGGTGACTCTACCAGTAAGGGAGAATATGTGATCTCAACATGTTGTTTAAATAGCTTTTGTTTGTAAACAGGACAGAAATTTTCTTTTTATAGATTCTATCGTGGCTTTCAGTTACTCATCCAGATGGCTGTAAACCTGTGAGAACAAAGGAAAGGCACTGAAATTCTGTGCTGTGCAATTACCACAATGGCTATCTAAATGATTTTCTGTACATGCTAGGTGTGGGGGACTTTCCTCCTGAAGACTCACTACTGTGATGTTCTGGTGAGTTAGGCTGGGCTTTCTCACTATGTGCAGAACCATCCGTCAGTGTTGCCTGTCTCTTTACTACAGAGTATCCTGTCTATGATGAGAAAGATGATCAGGAAGGGGAGAGATTTCTAGCATGAACTTCATTAAAGCAGAGTTTATTTCTATCCAGATCTTTCTTTTATGGAAGTTGGCCATTTAATTTTTCAGGCTTAGGAAATTGTGGAGGCTATGTGGCATCTCAACATGTGTGTGCTTAGACAGTGCTTAAAGGAATAAGTAAGAAGGTATGAATCCATTTAGGCTAGGAGGGGCAAGTTGTGTAAGGCAATTAATTGCTATGGCTGACTATTGAAGATTACAGCAGACATGAGGATAGCTGTGTCCTTACTAAATTATTTTCTGTAACCAAGTCAAAACTCTAGCTCGTTGCTTAAAAGCATCTTCTTCTAGCCCTGTGCAATGTCATAGAATGCAACAGAATGAGTTACAGTGGGGTTCTGCCTTAAAATGAAGTTGCAGTTTCTTTCTACATAAAACTGTCAGTTTAATTCCCTTAAACAAGAAAAGATCTCTGAATTAAACTCTGAGATGAAAAAGGAAAAAGTTTCTCAATCCCCTTTTTATGTATACTGCTACCCAAATACAAAGTGGGGAATGCTTGAGCAAGGAGCAGAGTAGCAGTAATGTGGGCTGACTTAAACTTCAGTAAGTTACAGGCCTCAGTGTAGCTTTTGGGAAACTCAGATGTGGTAAAGGACTTCTAAATTTGAGTCCACATATTCTACTTATAGTCCATACTAAATCCTGCTGAGAAAACAATCTGTTTTTTAAGTCTTGATGAGCACTTATTGCTGAAATGGGTTCGCAACAGAAGTCATGCTAAGAAGGGCTAGTGCTTGAGGTAGTCCTGCATCTTAGTCCCTAGAGTCTTTTTCCAGAAGACTATGAAAATTTTTAGTAGGATGTGTTGTCTTGAGTTGTCCAGTTGCAAGGGCCCTGCAACAATTTGTTTCACAATTTGTAGAGAGACATTAAGAATCCTATAGATTCTTGATCATTCTGTTTCTTGAAGAATTTAAAATCCAGAATGGTTGAATATGATAATTAAAATAAATTGAGCTACAAATAGCAAAAAAAAGTTGCGGTTTCTACTTCATTTGGACATCAGATACCTAATTTTTCTTAACTTGCTGTATGTATTGCGTGTGCTGCAGACATTTGTTCTTGTTCCTCTTTGCACTCATGCCAGTCCAAAGTACATGGGAATAACATGAGGTATGGATGTGAAAAGAGACAGAATAGAGACAACACATAAATGGGAAGTACCAAACTCGTTCTTTAAGTGCTTATCCGTGGGAATGCTTTTGTACTGTAGTGTATACTACGTGCTAATATGGCTAAAAGGCAGTTGCTTCAGTTCCTGGAGACAGGCAGCATCGCTCCAACTGAAAACGTAGCAGGTTTATTGTCAGAATGACAGATGGCCTCCTGCCTTTTGGGAAGAGGTAAAGCACTGTGTGCTCTACCTCTAAGAACTGTGGGGGCTTTAAATGCTCTCTTGATAGCTTTGTCCTTTAAGGTGGAGCTTCACGTTTGAAAAATTGTTTCAAGACCTTTATCACTGGAAGTGTCCTGTATTCTCACAATAGCATTACTACTATTACTTTAGGTGGCCACACAGTTTGCTTCTCGTGCACTGCCGATAGCAAGTAGCCTGATGGCTATGTGAGCACACCAGCTTGCAGGTCTAGGTGAAAAATACTTTTTTAGATTTTTTTTTTTTTCAGCTCAACTGTGAGCTAATGTAGCAATGTGAAAATAAAGAAGTTAGGAGAGGGACCAATCTGTTTGGTGGCAATACAAACTTACTTTGCCTTAAGAGTCATGAAGCTGCACCTTGAGATGCATTAATTTACAGATGAAAATTCATTAATGTTTCTGCACTCCATAAGGAAATGTCTTTTAACTATTTGCATTCCATAGAACCATGCTTGGAGGGGGGAAAAAAGTACTGCTGTGATTTTAATACATTTTAATTGACTTGTGTTGAAGCTGTTGCTAAGACACTGGCCCCTGTACAATTAAGAGGAGGGGTCTTCTCTGATGAAACTTTCAGGTGTGTTTTATTCCCACAGTACTATTTTGCTCGGGAAAACTTGTGTACTGATGGATGTAAATACGATGAGACAAAAATTTTAAACTGTGTGTTAAGCCATGTGGTTAGAACCTGGTTGATTAAGAGGAGAATATATGATGGAATATAATACACGTGACATATTTTTAGTGAGAGTAGTTGAATAGGAAATCAGTTAGACTTGATCAGATGTTCTAACATGGCATGCAGCCTTTAACCCTGCCTTTTTTTCCTTCTAGCTAGCTAGAGAAGCAATTTTTTTCTTTTTTTTTTTCCAAATCTGGAAGTTCCCCAAAAGTGGCATAATTCCAGGATAGTAATTCTGAAATTGCTGGGAATTTCTAAAGCTTGATGAAAGCTTTTTAAACCTAAAAAACAGCATGACTTTTGCAAATATATAGGAGTTTGAATAGTCAAGCTTGGAAGGAGGACAGACTTTTCCTTTCTTTCTGTTGAAAGAAGGGAGATTGCAGTATTTAGACTGCCACTTAAAATTTCTTTGAGTCCTGTTGTCTAATAGAGACCATTCCTCCTTTCTTGTGATATTGATAGAGATCTGATTTTAAGGATAGGGATGAATATTTAAAAAAAAAAAAAAAAAGAAGGTAGTTAGACTTCGGTTTTCACTATACAACAGGTGCTATACTGCTTTCACTCTGTGGATCAAGTTGCAACTTCATAAGTGAATCTGTTCCTGGGAAGTCAGTAATGTTGTAATATTCCTAACGCACTTTTTAACTCTATTTCTCACGATCATCAGTATAACTGTATAGGCAGAAAATGTGGGGTTTTTCTTAACTTAAATGAAATGTATATTTATCTTCACTGGCTATTAGTTTGAACTTCTAGTCCTGGTTTTTTTTTGATAGCTTTTTGACAGGTTGAAAGAAGAGCAACCAGACTTCAAAGCAAAAATAATAGTAGTTTTGAGTGACCTTACACAGCCTGAACTGGACCTTAATGAAGCAGTCAAGGAAACACTTATAGAATGCATTAATATTATATTTCATTGTGCTGCTACAGTCAGATTCAATGAAACACTGAGGTGAGTCTCAAATTCTGTATACCCTGGTCTGGTAAACCAATGGTGACCAAAGGGAGGGGGTAAATAAGGTGTCTGCACAATTTGGCAAATATTCAGCCTGTCAGGCTGCCTCAGGTACTTAGATATTGGTGTGCTTGGTTGGTTTCATCATGCCCCTTGAGGTAATAATAAACTTTTCACCCAAACTTATCTTAAGCTGTTGGCTTTTTTGTTTGTGCTGCTTAGGAAGATGGAGGCATATTATTTACACCTGTGCTGACAGGGGTTAGAATTAGACTACTGAATGTGGAAAATTTAATGTTTTAAAGCTTTACACAAAAAGACAAGACAATTATTAGCACTTAGAAACTAAAGAAGTTATTCTTGTAGTTTTGCTGTAGATCACTCAGGTTTTGTCTGTTTTTTCTTTTGTTTGGTTTTTGGTTTTTTTTTTTTTACCAAGTCCCTGACAATTTCAAAGTCTTTTTGAAGGGAAACTGTTGAAGAGACTAGAGAACATTTTGCTATTCAGTGTTCCTAATACCACATGTTACTCTGATCCCTGTGATGGGTAGAAAAGATATGATTAAGCTGTAGCTATGTGTACTGTGCACACTAGTAAAACGAGAGCTTTTTTCCTAGTGTGTAAAAGGGAACACAAACTATTCCTTAGCATCCCCTTGTTAGAAGGGGAATGCACATTTTCAGAGGATAACTTTTTGGCAAAACTATGTGAGGGAAGTTCTAGCACTTGCTTTTTACCTGGTGAACAAATAGGAGATTAAATACTATTCACCTTTCTCCATGTCCTTGCAAACCTCTATTCTTCTTAATGAAGGACTTTCTATTTGAGGGACTAGGGAAAAGTAGATGAACAGGGTGAAAGGTGAAAGCTAAAAGTTGAAAACTTCCATGTTGTACAGAAAAATCTCTTAAGGAAATGGTATAGAAAGGATTACTAGAAGCAAGAAAAGACTGCTTTTTGGGAAAAAAAATTGGTAAAGCTTTATTTAGCAGTATTCTTGAAACTTAGTTGATTAATACACTGTTTACAAGAAAAATAGTGCCCATAATTTTTTTTAATAGGCTGGAGAGAATAACTGAATTGGACAAAATAATCATAGGAGTTGGTCAGTAAGCTGTGTTCTGGTGGGAATTGTAGAGATAAACCAACTCTCCTACAGTGTCCTTAAGTACTCTAATGAGAAGCAGTGAAGTTAGAGGTTGAAAGTGTGGGCTTTGGTTTTCCTTTTTTTTTTTTTTCTTCCTTCCTGTAATCCTGTTGAACTACTGAGCCTTGTGCTATCCTACCAGAAGATACCAGTCTCCATTTTATTAGTCCTCTCAGCATTCCTTCTTAGTTGTTGACCTAAATCAACTTGAACCAGGAAATTCAGAGGTGCATCTCATGTAGCAGCTAGCTGTTGTATTGCATTATTTCCTTCAAATTTTATGAAAAATGTAGGATTGGGATTTAGCCTGAGGAGATAATGCTGACTTTCCCACTCTAGTAATGGAGCATGAGGATGCCAGTAAGAACAGGGTAAAACAGGAAGAATACCTTGAATGCTGAGAGGTGTTCTACATAAAGTTTGCGGCTTATCCTTCCAAGCATAAAGTTAAGATATTGTCTATGCTTCTTTTTTGAGGAGGATGGAGTCTTTTGGAATACTTTATATACCCATCACTGAGGCACTTAAGAGTGAATTGACTAGTTCCTGCTTTTTGCTTGTGTTTGTTTTTTCTTGCTTTCTGCTAATCGGGTTTCTATTTACTCAACAGAGATGCCGTTCAGTTAAATGTGACTGCCACACAACAGCTTCTCTTCCTGGCACAGCGAATGAAGAACCTGGAAGTGTTCACACATGTTTCGACTGCCTTTGCATATTGTAATCAAAAACAGATTGAGGAAGTAGTTTATCCACCTCCTGTTGATCCCAGGAAACTGATAGATTCTCTTGAGTAAGTGTTGTTTCATGAAGTTCCATCAGTAATCTGCAACGAATTGCTTCTTAGGACCCAAACATTCCCTGTGAGTCTGACAGCTTGGCTGACATTTCTGTAAAGTAGATGAGTTAAGGTTTTATGGCCACTTCCAGCTGAGCTAGGTGCAGAGTGGTACTGAAGGATTGGAGTGCTTAGGTCTACTCATGATGCCTCCTATATGCTGAGCATGGCACTTTTTCAGCTGTATGATGAGCTGAATCATACAAACTAAAACAAAAAACCATGCTGTTAGAAGTGTGCTAGTACTGGCATTGTGAAAGAGAGGGATAAAACAACAACAAAAAAAATAGCGGTAGCCTTAAGAAGAAAAAAATTTTGTATTTAACAAATTCATAAATGTACCTTCTTTCTACGGTACACCACGTAAAATAGTTCCAAAACACTTTTGGAACTGCATGCATGTTCTAGTGAAGGATTGTTTTGTTCTTGATATTTACTCTCAGATGCTTAGGTTTTATGGTTTAGTTTGAAACGATGAGCATGAAGTCTGTTTACTACCAACTTACAGCAGACTTTTAATTTCCTTAAACCAGCCTGACTACACTACTGCTGTAGGATCTCAAATTAACATTCTTCCTTAAGAGCCCTTTCCAGAAAAGTTCTATACATATAGTTGCCATCTTAATTTAAATCGTACTGTATAATCAAAATGAGCAATAGGCAGGCTCTATTAAACTTGATTTTTCTGGCATCTGGGATTGGCCCTCAGGTTGAATAAGAAAAACAACCTAATTCTTAGTGTTTTGATTAATGGTATTTCAGGAGGCTATGTGATTTTAAAGTGAAGTACAGTATAAGCTGTCAGCAGACATTTATTGTTTGATATGCAAATGCTTATGGAAATGTTTTACAACTTCCTGCTATTTAAAGTAGGAAGAAGTGTGTAACATGCTAATTCCAGTAGGAGTTGGTGTTGAATTCTGAAAAGCTGAGATTTACAGTGTACTAGTTTAGCATTTGATAATGGGGTTGTTGCAGAAACATTGAAATAAATACAGAATTGAGTCTTTAGTTATTTCATAAATTTCTTGTTCCTCTGTGCTTACGTAGCTTCTAGGTGAATGCTAATGCTTTGGTGGTTTTGGTGTGGGTTTTTTTGATGATTTTTTTTTTCCTTGAGTGGTGTTTTGAAGAAGCGATTGGATTTTAATTTTCCTTTCCAAAGATTTATCTAGTTATTCTTTTTACATGTTGCTTTGCTCCACCTCTCCTTATCCTTCTCAAGTGAGGTAGCATGCAGGAATTTATACGTGCCTCTTAATTTGTTTCTTCAGGTGGATGGATGATGGCCTAGTGAAAGATATTACTCCTAAACTGCTGGGTGACAGACCTAATACTTACATATATACAAAAGCCTTAGCCGAATATATAGTACAACAAGAAGGTGCAAAATTAAACACAGCCATTATTAGGCCATCTATTGTTGGTGCTAGCTGGAAGGAGCCTTTTCCTGTAAGTCCATGAATTTTCCCCTGACCGTCTTGCCTCTAAACTGTAGTACATACTGACAACCTGTATCTAGTGATTTTTGTAGAAGAAAACCTTTTAGACTATGAAGCTGTGGTTTGGTTGCTTCTGGATAACAACTGATACAAAAGCTGTCGAATACAGTATTCTTATCTGTGCATTTTGGGGACCAATTACTTCTAATTGTGGAACAATACACTTCTATCCCAGTGGGAGATATTGTCTAACACATGAAATAAAGTTAGCGTTTTACTTCATGATTCTGTATATCTTCATCTGTTTTTTTCCACTTCAAAATGCTTTGGTATGTCAGTAGCTACAAAGGGTGATTAAGAAAACAGGGTGCTGCAGGACATACAAATGTTTTTGCTCCACTTCCTTTAGTCAAACTAAGCTTTAAAGGGGATGGTGCAAGTTCTGTGTACTATATGCTATCCTATATTACATATATGCTATTCTTCCTCCTGTATGGGAGATTGGTGTTGGGATAGCTTCTTCAGGTCAAGATAGGATGTCTCTCAAACCCTTAAAATCCATATAATTTTTGGATAAGTTTTTGCTTCAAACTGCTGACTCCAGTGTACTCTAACAAAATCCTTTTCTCCCCTGTTCATAATAGGGATGGATTGATAACTTCAATGGACCTAGTGGTCTCTTTATTGCTGTAAGTAGTGAATATACTTGCATTTTTTTTCCTCCTTTTGGAAGACAACAGAGCTTCATTTGTCTTACTGGTGGATCTTTTGTCTCTTGTTTTGTTTTGTTCTTTAAGGCAGGAAAAGGAATTCTTCGAACTATGAGAGCTTCCAACAGTGCAGTAGCAGATCTTATTCCAGTAGATATTGTTGTCAATGCAACACTGGCTGCAGCCTGGTATTCTGGAGTTAATAGGTATAACAGGTGACAATAGAGAGTACTAAATATTTTGGAATTATGTTGTGTGTTTTCTACTGAACTTCTAATAAGTGCCATGCTATTCCCCCATGAAAAAGGAATGTAAGGTTATAACAGTGTTAGTCCCTCAGATTGTACTTTCCTTATGCTAAAGAGGAAGATGTGAACTACTGATACTGCTATACAAGCTAGGCCTGAAATTTCCTTCATAGGTCTTGTAATCAATACAATCCACAGCAATGTAGGTGATGCCATCTCTGAAAGAAATGAAATATAATGTAGTTAAGGAGAAAAATACTGTACTGTCATACAGAAAGCAAAAAATCTTAACATGAGACTGACGCCGTTATATAAATGATGCTGTTAAGGGAAAGACTAACTGGGTATATTTTTGTTTGTTTTTAAAAAGTTGTTTGTCTTCTAACTTGTTCTTTTGATTTTTTTTTTTTTTTCCCCCCCTCCAGACCAAAAAATGTCATGGTATATAACTGTACAACAGGTGGCACCAATCCTTTCCACTGGAGTGAAGTTGGTATGCCATGTTTCTTTTTCCTAAGCTTTAATAGAAAAAGAAATCCAATAATAAAAGCAGACTATAGTCAGTAGGTCATATTACATTTTTATTGTTGAAACTAGCATAGTAGCCATACCTCTCAATTTTGTGGGGCATTGTGCTTTTTTCTTATCTTCCATAGTTAATTCTCTCCCCACCATCTCATTTTCTTATTATTACATTATAACTTAAACTATGGGAGAACTGATTTTTCCGTTTGATGCTGCCATGACTTAATCTGCAGAGTGGGGGTAGTATGCAGAGAACAGCATTGCTCAGAGGTGTGGTAGTGATGTTTGGCTTAATGCTAACCTTGCTTAAATACGTATAGATAAACAGCTCACGATTAAATATTTTGTGCATAATTGAGAGGTATGGTAATTGCTTTGCAATTTTGTAGCTCTGTTGTGTTTGGCTTAAGTTAACTCTTGATTTAGGTGGCTTTTCTTTAATCTTCAGGTAGCTACATGAGACTTAAACTACTCATGTACAGGGAAAAATAATCTAAAAGTATGGCCACCTATTTTCAACTCCTAGATATCCTGACTAGAATGTAACCCACATGCCAAAAACGGTGATAGTTTTTGTTATAAATAGCAATGAAAGCTGGCTGGCATGGTAAAGCTGTTTATTAACTTTCAGACTTTTAGATACAGAGTTCTTAAGCTCAGATTATTTTTTTTTTTCCCCCCCCTTCGGTTAATGTCAATACTTAAATCTATTACTCTTTACTACTTTTTTCATCTTTTTACTTGCTTTTGCCCATTCTGTATGTATCTATATTTATAAGTCTCATTGCTTCAGCCAAACTTGGAAAATTGCTGACTTCATTTATATCCCATTTTGAAGCAGGGTATTTAAACACTGTCCATAAATAACGCCATAAAGTTATAAGATATGGTAAAAAGACTTAAATTTCAACATAACTTTTTGCTACATTATCCTGCATATCTATTATGTGCAGAATTTTTGTGTGTCAGCAGGAGTTTCGCATGGAGTCCTGTCACTTTTTGCTTAATGCTTAAATATGAATAAATTGTTTTAAAATGTCATTTGAAATGCACTTCAGATGCTTGCAGACTCCTCAGTCTGTTTTTAAGTTTTGTCACATAAGATCAGGGTAACCTTCTTCATTTAAATTGTGGCTATTTAAATAGCTTTACATGTTATAAACTGAAATTGCTGTGAATTTTTGAAACCAAATACTTTGAAGGTAGAGAAGAGGAACAGAAAGAGAGAAGCTATGATAAAATATAATACTGAAGATGAAGGCATAAAAGAGCTCTTGATTATCATAAGAACTACCTCAAGAGTATTTTAGGTTAAAAGCTTATGACTTTTAGTTTCTGTGGACTGTAGAAGAGTTAGAGTGGTTATTTAAATAACATACATAGTTATTGCACACTAATGTACTTTGAAACCAAATAAATTTTACATGGTTATTATCAAAGCTGTTACACAACTTTTCTTTCTCAGAATACCATGTAATTTCTACTTTCAAGAGGAATCCTCTCGAACAGGCCTTCAGACGGCCCAATGTAAATCTAACTTCCAATCACCTTTTGTATCATTACTGGATTGCTGTAAGCCATAAGGCCCCAGCATTCCTGTATGATATCTACCTCAGGATTACTGGAAGAAGCCCAAGGTAATGGTGACTAGCTCTGTCTTGTCTGTTCCTCTGAGTTTTAAACAAAGCTATGACTATACAATGATGTATACTGATTTTTTTTTTTTTTTTTTTTTTTGTTTTCCCCTGAATGCTTTGTGACTAAAATGCAGTCTTTTTTTCCTGAGAACAGGTCCTTGAATTCAAAGTCACTTTCAACTTTCTAGCAAAACTGAAGATTTTTTTTTTTTATAGCCTGGGTGTTTGAGTAGTCATGGTAAATAGAATTACAAGATCTAGCAAGTGATGTTTGTTCTTGAATAATAAATACTTAAAATATGTTGATCCTTATTTTTTCCTACAGTATACTACATTAATTTGAATTTCAAGATATATCCATTAGAGGGTTCAGTAAGGCACCCTGACATTAGTTTACAACCCAACCCCGTCTTGAATCGCTATTGGACTGCAGTCAGCCATAGAATGCCTGCATTTTTCTATGATCTTTTGCTCAGATTGACAGGTCGTAAACCATGGTAAGAAAGACAGGGCTAAAAATACCTTGCTGGTAAGGTGGTGGAGACTTGTGAAGAAGACGTGGCATGGGCACTATCCAGGTTTACTAACTACAAGCAATAACAATCTGGTGGCTGGATTTTGCAGAGATTAATGACTGGCTCAACAATGCTGTCCAAGATACGTTTCGGATCAGAATCCCAGTCAGCCATTAAACTCTACAAAGTGGCTTGCGTTAAGATTGTTGCTATTATAAACTGGAAATGGAGGAGATGGAGATAATAATTGTGGTTATTCCTGTCGATGATACAACTTGATCTGATCTGTTGGTTTGTATCATCTCAACATTCTGCTTTGTGTAGAATATTTACACTAGTATCTGGCTAACTTAAGGGGTGAAAATGGTATAGCTCTGTTAAATAGGCTAAACTAAATCACATAGAAGGAATATAAGATGTCAATTGAATTTGTTTCAGATTTGCCAAGCCATGTAATCTTAATTTGTTGCTTATGTTATGCTTTCAAAAGTATTTGTCTTCAGACTCTGTAAAATCTCCACTGTGGTGACAGTGTATTAACACAAGTGAGTATTCATTCCTTGTCCTGTAGTCTAGGCCTGTGTTACAAGAAGGGGAAAAGTTCTGTAACATGCTTGGCCCTGCATCAGTAGAAGGAAGCCATGTAACTGGTTTGTAAGAGAAAACTGTCACCAGTAGTGGCAGGAGGCTGTGCCTGTATAGTAATCTTCCCACATTAAAAAGATGTAAGCCCTTCATATCAAAAGGAGGTACTGAACATACAAGTTCATAGCTCTTAGGTTCTTTCGAAATTTTTAGTTGTTCTTAATAAAAATTGACAGAAATTCCTTGACAGATGTTACTACTGCATCAGTTGCTAAATGTAGTTAGAGTATAAATGCCAATCTACTGTCTCTCAAATGGTTAGGACGTAGAGCTGTTGGAATCTTGATATTCTGTAAGAGGCATCTAGTCTCTTGAGTATTTGGCCAGTGGGAGTAGAACAAGGCTGTGAATAATATTCACTAGAACACTCCTAGCAGTCTTTTATATTATAAAACCGAGAATATTGAATCTTGGTTTTGCTTTTCCTGGGGTTCTTACTTGATCTCCAAAGATGGAATTTTGAGCTTTAATCAGTAGTAGTACAATTGGTGACATAAAATACATATTTTCTAGCCTGTGAAGTATTACTGATGTGAGTATTCCTAATTGGTTTCATATAACAGTGAGTGGGTGATTTTTCCTATCGTGCACAAGATTACCAATTAGGAGGAAGCATGGAAGATTCAACTAAAACAACCTAATGTTTGGTCACTGAGGTTACCCGAATGCACTTGAACAAAAAGCTGTTAGGTTTGATACCCAGCCCACTTATAAGAATGTATCTTTCATTATATAATGCTCTTTTTTTAAGCACTTAAAAAATAGAAGGCTTGCAATAGGAGCACTAAAAGAAAATAAATATATGAATGTAAGCAAGACATACACTGTCAAATCCTAATGGATTGATGAGTGAGTATACTTGTATTGAATAGATTAATATGTTTTTTTCTCTTAGTTTGAAAACCATATTAGGTTTTCTCATTTTTAAGTTGTGCACTTAAAGGAACCATGAAGCTGCTGGAAAGATAAGAATTCCAGTAGTATGTCTTGTACTTCAAATTTTACAGTCAAATGAAATTCTGAACAAAGACAAATCTGAAAGCTTGTTTTATGTGTTCCAGTTAACTATCCCTAATGCTTTTGCAGAGACTTGCTGATTGGCAGCCTTGTAGATTCACTGCAGGATCAGGCTGCATTTAGCATCAGGACTGGTTTTAGTCAAGAGGCAAAAGGTTTTGTGCAAGAGTTACTCAAAATGCAGTCATAGCCTTAAGCCAGGTCATTTTCTCTTGTCTAGTATCATAAGTGTCCACCTAACTTATGGAAAACTGAATTAACTATTGCTTAGAACTATTAATTCCCGTAATATGCTTAAACTGTTGTAATGCATAGTGTGCTAATGGAAATCAGGGCTGCCTAGCAGAGACAAAATGCTACTTAGTATCTAAGTGAATCTTGCTCACTGTCAATGTGCAAGATTGACTGATGCTGAAGTTCAATTCTTTATGGTGATCAGCAGGTCTAAGTTTTTTTTTTTTTCTGTCTTCAGTTTATGAAGAAGGTGTGATGCAATGCTTGATGTTATACCGACTGGTTATATATAGCCTTGATATTTATGACTTGTGTCCGGTGGCTGTCTCTGGAACTACTTGTGAAGTGTATATTTCAAAACTTCAGATTGAGACATAAAGTTCCATTATGTGTATTCATGCTCTTTTTTTCAGTCATGTTAGGTATTCCCATTTGCAGGAGAAATACAGTAACATTGAAGTTATAAAATTTAGTCTGCCAGAGGTACACAAGTGTTCACTAAATGACACTCATTATTGACATCTCTGAATGAGAGGCTGTCACCATACTTCTCAAAAATGGGTACTTTCATGTTGATTTAGTGCAAACTAATAAGCTGTCACCAAGAAAGCTGGTCCTCTTCTGCCAACTTTGTAATTGATCTAGCAGTTGGGAGACATTTGAATCTTTTGGCTTTATGTATCAAAAAACTAACTGTACAAAGAGAGAAAAAAATTTTTTTTCCATTGATGAATTGAGTCACCTTTTTCTGTTGCCAGTCACTAAATCCAGTTTGAGTTGGAGGGAGGGGGAAAAAGTCTGCAGCTGAGGTAGAAAAAGTTTTTAAAGCCACTTTTTTTTTTTTTGGTAACTAGCTTAGCTATGTTTTACAGCCATATCCATAAGAAGAGACATCAAGATTCCCAGCAGAAGTTAGTCTTTACATTAGTTGAAATTTAGTATAGATTCTGTTTACAGAAAAGAGCAAAAAAACAATGGCCAGTAACAAGCTCAAAACCTGCACTTGTCTAGTCAGATGTTCATTTGCACCATTTAGCATTTTGTAGGGGCACAAGCTTTCCTAAACTGCATCAAGTCTTAACTAAAACTCAGCTGTTCTTTCAGCTTAGCATAAACTCCCAAATTGGAGAGGCACAAAAGGGCAAGTCAGCTGAGTTAAATAAGCTGAAGGCTGTCAGTGGACAAACCCCTGCTAAAGCACCTAGCCACCATGTTCTGTTTGGCATTATTTTTATCCAGGCCATTTTTCTATGAAGTATTTCTCAGTTATCTGTCTAGTAAGATTTTTGTTTTCTAAGTTGTGAGTTGTCCGAGTTTCTTTACTATTTTTTTTAATTTATTTTTATTATTCAGTTCAGTCTTGTTAGCACAGCAAATGCTTTGAATGCAGTCTATATTCCTAGCTGTTTTTGAATTAGAGGGAATTTGGTTCAACTCATTTCTCACTGTTGCCACTGTGCCTGACTGGCACCTATGAATAGGTGTTTGAAAGCGTCTAGAAATGTGTACTAATTAGCTGGTGGTCTAAAATTTGAATACAATTCTGAATTACTGTGTAGATAGGTTCCCTAAGTGGTTTAAGGAAAAGTATTTGTGCTTTAAAGATGCTCCATTTTTTTAGTGGTCTCTGCAATTTTTATTGCTCCATTTCATGGGAAGAAAGAGGCAATTTTGATGTTCTCTTGGATATTGAGATGGCAGCCATTAGTGACAGTAGGGGACACTAATGCCATACAAAATACTTTCTTTAGAAGAGTTTCTGGGATGATGTGTTATATTTCTTCTACAAGTACAAATGCATCAAAGCAGCTTTCAGAGAAAAATCAGTGGTTTTATTGCTTCTATGAACTTCACTGAGCAAAACTTACCTTCTGAAAGACATTTCCTTTTAGTGCTGGGTTGTTCTGCTTCCTTTGCCTTATTTCCGCCCCCCCATGCTTAAAATTATCTGTGTGCTGCTATAAGGATCAAATTTGAAGTAGTTCTATGAAATGGAAATATCTCTAAGCAGGAATTGAATAACATTAGGTTATGTGGTACTAGTTACTAAAATTTAATGGCCATCTACCACTGTTAACAGCTGAAACAATTTTCTTGCTATAAATGCAGGATCTTTGGATGACTCATTTTTAGGTCCACTTCAGATAGTCTGATCAAAATGAAACTTACTCAAATTGATCCTTATAATTTCTCTGTATTCCAAGTGATGGGTTTGTAGAGTTGCTTCTTCTGCATAATAAGCAATGATGATGGAAGATATTTCTGCATATTTTGAAGTACCATGGAACTTATCACCTAACTAGCAGGATCTGCTACAGTCAGTCCCTGCCCTTAAATGTTTTCCTGCCCTTTGGTGCAGAAGCAGTAAAGTTAAGGGGCTAAAGCCATATTTCTGGTGATTTTGAGCCTTGGTCTCTTAGTGACCATAAAGCAATTTTGTTTTGCTACAGACAGTAGGTCTTGCACAGCATGCAGGGAGGTCAGAGAAGCTTACTCACTTGCTTAAAGTTGTCATGTGCATATGTTCTGTGCTGTGCAATTTGACTCTTTGATCAAGTCAGATTGTTCAGTACAGCTAGGTACTCCAGTATGCTGAAGTGAGTTGTGTTCTGTGTGGTAAACCAAGCTGCCAACAGAAGACAACATTTTACCATCCCTTTTTGTTAGGGCAGAATCTTAAAATTGCACTGGGAAGTAGGATTAGGAAAAAGGATCATCCTATAATCTCTGATTCTATATAGAGATTGGACAGACAAAGCTCACTTTAATAATATGCAGAAATATGCTTTTGATCTAATATGACATGCTTTGGGTACAAAGCAAGATGGGATATGTTAATATGAGGATGTGGGGTTGGAGGGTAAAAAATTTACTATCATGCTGTCTGTTTTTCTTCTTTGAACTAATCTTTACCACTGTAATGTGTACATTCCATGCCTTGGACTCTAGGATGATGAAAACAATAACACGTCTTCATAAGGCCATGATGTTATTGGAATACTTTACAAGCAATTCTTGGATCTGGAATACTGAAAATATGACTATGCTAATGAACCAGCTAAATCCTGAAGACAAAAAGGTAAGTAGCTTTGTGATCTGGGCATGGAGACTGAAAAAGAAATGTCTCATTTAAGATTGAGTAAGGGCATGAGCTGGGAATTCTGCTCACTGAAATGTGGAGCTAGCCCTAGTACTAACTCAGTGCTGGAAATTCCTCTCACATCCTTCCAGTTGTGCCAGGACTGTTATAAACTGGATTAGTGATGTGGTCAGAGATGAGGAAGGGCAGGACTCCCTTGAAGGAGGCCCAGTATAGGAGGTTGTCTTTGGAATGGCCCAGGTGCATGAGCTGGTGTTGCCTGTATGTGAACCAAGTGGCCATGGTGTTACAGTTATACCTATATCATCGCCACTCTCTTTTGTGGGGACCAGGAGGTGGGTTTTGAGGCACTTCTTTGCTTGTATTTAGTAACAGCTTATATGTACTCTTTTCATACAGAGCACTACATGTGTTCAGAGAAAAGTGTGAATTCTGAAGCACACTCTTGTGGTGTGACTAAAAATGCAGGGGGGAAAGTGTAACAGAAGCAGGAAGACAGAAAAGTCCTGAAGGTTTTGAGGAAGAGAGAGAACTGCTGAATGCAGGGGTCTGAGAGTGAATGAAAAAGCAGACTTCCTTTCTGCTGTGTGTTTTTTTTTTTTTGTTAATATTTAGCAGGATAAAAATCAGCAGCTTTAAAAACTTAAATTCTCTTGTGCATTATGAGCAGTTTTGTCGTCTTTAAGATGTCTTTTCTGATCAGATGTTTTCCAGAATCTAGTCCTGTGCTAAAGTTGAAGAAAAGGTGCTCAACTTCTAAATAAGCTATCTAAAAGTAGGCAATAAAATAGCTTTTGATGACTCCTGTGTAGAGAGGATTTCCATCCCTTTCTCCCTCTTGCCTTCTGCCAGCAACTTGAATTCAGGAAAAAAACAAACCAAAAACGATGCCAGAGCTTTGAACTGTTAGTATTTTCAATAATATTTTTATTTCAACTAGTTCTTCATTGTTGTATACACAATTGAAACTTGGCTATTTTTATATACTTGCTATGATGATATGTTATGGAAAATAAAGTTTGAGAGATTCTGACAACTTACCAGGACTGGAAGGCATGTGTGTATTTTATATCATGACTAGAACTCCGTGCTGCCCTTCAGCTTGCAAACAGTGCTCAATTACAAAGACTCACTGTTAGGGATCATCTTCAGAACTCTAATGTTTTTTTTTTTTATCGTGCCTTGTAACACATCTGCTATGCTACTAAGCAGCTTACTTCGAAGCATGAACTTGGGGATTTAGTGTATGTATAACAACTTCTAAAGCTGAATACAGTTTTGCTGCACAAAACTCTTTACTTGTCTCTTGTTCCTATAACGATCTTGCTAATTCTATTGCCTGAAACAGAAATGGCAGAGTTGAAAAGCTGCTAGGAAAATCTTAGTATTTATTGGGACTTAAATGTCTTTTATTGTAGAATCTTGAGATGAGGAAATCAATTGTGAATTTACCATAGAAATGCAGAGTTGCTCTTGCAACTCTGCATTTATCAAAGAGTAAACTTGGCACAGAGCAGTATTTATTCTATAGTGCATTAGAATTACTTAGTTGCTCAAGAGGACACACGATGGACAAGCGTTATCTCTAGACTGGAGGTGCTTACACACATGAAATGGGAAAGCAGCACACTTAGAAGTGGGGGGAAGAATGTTACTGCTGAGGAGGAAAACTTAAGGCGTGTAGTTGTTGAAAGTTAGATGTTATAAGAAACTGATGGTTGAGTGAAAAGTGGGATCTAAATTTGGATCATTCTTATGATTAAGGACAAGATAACTTTCTTGCATAAAAGACAAATTGGGATCATCCGAGCAACTGATGTCATTTACCTGGA